GAGATAGAGAGAGAGAGAGAGCGCAAACACAACAAAAAACAAAAGAACCCCAAGCATGGGTGATTTCATTCCGTGCTGGTTGTTGAACTTAAAATTTTTTTAAAAAATTTGTTTATTTTTATTTTAGATGTGTGTTTTGCCTGCATGCATGTAAGTGCACCCATGTCATGCAGTGCCTGCAGAAACCAGACGAGGACTTTAGATCCCCTGGAGTAGAATTATGGACAGTTGTTAGCCACCATGTGGTTGCTGGGAACCAAACCGAGATCCTTTGCAAGAACAGCTAGTGCTCTTAACTGCTGAAAATCTCTCCAAACCCTGTTGAACTGTTCTGTGGTGTTGAAGCAGTCTGTCTGACTTGCTGATTGTGTTGTCTCACAATGTCTGCCCTAGCTCATGTGCACGATTAATTGTTTGGAGCATGGGCCTCCCTAGTTCCATGGGGTAAGCCTAACCCTGTGATTACTTCATTCATAAATTCCATATTTATAATGCATCTTAAGGAAATGAGTAGTTAAAGCCTCTTGTGGATTATTTTGCAAAATAATACGAGTAGACAGTGTGGGTCCTAAGGAGCAGAGCGAGCCACCTCTGTGTAGATCCGGAGAGCTCCAAAGCTCAGTTCAGGAAGCGTTGCCTGACTGCTCGACTTTTTCTAATTAAGTCGGTGTTTTGTTCTTCCCCGTCAGCTGAGAACCTCTTCTCCTTTGTAGCCCCAGATTTTCCTAAAACATACGGGTTGACGTGTTCATTGTTCCCCGGAGGAACACTGACCACTAAAAGAAAAGGCTTTCTTCTCTTAGTTGATTTTAGGTCATCACTGGCAGCAAAGAACATAGCCAAATTAGAGAATTCCTGTAATGATATTAGGTTGGTAATTCAGACAAGAAAAATCAGAAGTTACTTGGAAAGTAGAAAGGCTGTTTTCTTACATGTTCTTTTTGGGAAAGTGGTATTCCTTATTAATTGAGAGTCTCTCTTCCACTTTTTCCCTCAGCTCCTTTTAAATTAACGTAAAAATGCCATGGCATATAAGAAATCTAGTTCAGTAAGTTATTTTGTGTTGTGTATGAAGGTGGCCCTGTGGGCGGGGACAGTGGGGGTAGGTAGAGGAACCATGGTTGTCCAACTTAGGAGTGTGTGTGTGAGTATATGTGCATGCCAGGTACAGCTCTAACCATGTGTAACTTTTCAAATTTAAAGTAAAATACAGCACAATTAGAAATTCAGTTTCCCTATTGAACTAGCCACGTTCAAGTCTCTCAGTAGCCAAATCCACTTGGCCAGCACAGATAAACTTTTCTCCACTGCAGAAAGTTCTATGTGATAATGCCGATTTAACCGTTCGATGTATTTGTGAAATGGATAGGGAACAACTTTTTTGCTCATCTCCGGGGCGTTAAATGCTTTGCAGGCATAATTTTAAACATGGTATCTAATATGTACTGATCCACTCTGTAGCAGAAGGTGCTGATTGTAATTTGTGCTGTTACGTAGTCTCCGTGTGAATGATAGGAGTGGTTGAATGTCTTGGCACTTTTGCCTTAGGTGAATCCACAGTATTGCTCATTGGGGTGTGTCTCTCTGGCATAAAATATGAAAGTATCAACATATGTCACTGCCCTACATACCAGGTGGAGTGAAATAATGAAGTCGTACAAATTATAGGGTGTCCTACCACACCACAGTGGCCAATGTAGAATCATTTTCTAACTAGTTACACAGTAGAGTAGGTAGATGTGTGTTTGGCCTCCTAGGGAGCCTCAGTGAACTGTGGTGTAGATTGTTAAATGTGGAAAGGAATATGGACTTTATTTTGGGTTTGAAAAATCTTTTCAAATGTTCTCATGTTAATATTTGCCCTTTTAGAGATGGTGTCTAGATGAAGTAAAGTTTTTTTTTTTTTAAAAATGTATAGGA